CGTAGTTTGTACTATTAACCTAGCTACTATGCGTCAAAAGTTGTAATACATTTTCCGAAGGTACTAAAACGTTAAAAAATAACGAAAATAATTTTTTTTTTCAAAAATTATAAGCGATCGTGAAAATTTTTTCAAGTAAAAGTTATGTGAAATTATACTGTCTACCCAACTGAAGAAAAAAAAATTATAGATTTAAAAAAATAGCGAAATTAGTACTCACATCCGGTACAACCGGAAGTACAAAAAGAATGATTTCATGTCGTAATAATCCGTTTTAGCGACCTAACTATGCATTCCAAATGGTTTTCTTATATCACCAATAATAAAGAAAAATATGGGGGTGAGCCACTTTTGAGGGACACCCGGTATATACCACAGCATACTCTACATTAAGATACAGAGTCAGCATTTTGTCACACATGGTGAGGTCCATATCTAAATATTCCAGATTATCAAGGGGTCACCAAAGTGTAAATATTGTTGCTGTCAAGTTTTTTAATAAACTGCCACTCACTGTCGCCGGATTGCCTCTTAAATCTCTAAGGAACTGTCTTCATAAATTCCTGGTTGAGCGGGCCTACTACTCATGTGACTTTTTAAACGACACAATTACGTCCGAAAATTTCAATATATGTGTATCGGAACCGTAATTATTTTTGACTCCTATGGATCATGTGCGTAATTTGCTGTGTTTTGCTGCGTTTATTTTTGTAATTACGACTATTGTTGCTATAATTAATGTATTGCGTTTGCTGTGTTATAATTATTATTATACTTGTCTGTACGGTTATTGTAGATTGTAGTACTGATTGACTAGTGTAACACTTGAATGTTTTTGCACAATAATGATATTATTATTATTATTATTATTATTTTCCTCGGAATACCATGTATCGCTAGTAATTCTTTTAACTTTTCTATTATTCCCATTGCTGTTTTTCTTTCCAGTTTTATAATGTCTATTCATTTTGAAAACTGATCTATTACAATTGAGTAATCTTTTCCTTGATATTATAATACATCCATCGATAATGCTTCAAACGGTCATTCATTCGGGATTTCTAAACGTCTTAGTTTTTGTTTTGTATTTGTAGCTTTCTGTGCTAATTCGCATTGTTCACAATTTTTAATATGATTCTTAACATCTTTTGCCATATTTGGCCAATAAGTTGTTTCCTTAGCTTTTTCCAACATTCTACTAATTCCAAAATGACCTTCAAATAACTTAGGATATGCATTTACAAACATTTCATTTGATTTAATAATTATTTTTTTCCAATTTTTTAGTTTTTCTTCTGGCAATATGTTGACTTCCGCATCTATATCAATTTTAAATTCTATCGGATTCTTTTCGACTTCTAATGTTTCAATCCATTATTTTCTTGCTCCTTGTTGCCCCACGTGACCAATTTTTACCAGTCCCTCTGCGTATTCTTCTTCTTCACTACTTTCTGTGTCATTTTAATGCATTAACATTTTTTGGTTTGCAAGCAATAGCAAAATGATTATACTTGTTACAGTTGTTACATAATTTTCCATACGCTTGACATTCTTTAAACTTGTATCTTTTCACACATCTTTTACATTTAAATTCTTCTTTTCTAATCTCACCTTTATTTTTGTTTATTTGTTTTTGATTATTAACAAATTTTCCTTAACAATTCCTCTTGTAATCTTTTATCATATATTTCTAATACAACTCTATCTCATTTCATTGGCATCTGTAAAATTGCATGTTTTCACCAGTTTTCAGTACAAAACTCTCAAACAGTTCTCCTTCCAGTTGCTTTCTTCTCTTATAAAATCAGAATTTCATATACAATATTTGCTTTTGGATTCATATACATATTTTTCAAATTCTTCCATTACTTTATTATATTTCTTTTCATCTTCATCAGACAATTTAAAATCATTATACAGGGTGAGTTAGAAAGAATGGGAAATCCGAATACCCGAGATACTAGACACCAAAATATGATGATTGAAGTCAGTGGTTTTCGAGGCACATTTTGAAGCTTTTTGTACTATTAACATAAAATTTGGTAGTTTTACGTTTTCGAGCATGAGAAATACGAATTTGAAACTTGTTTTGTTATTGCTCGTAGAGGGCGCTAGACACACTGCTCGTTTGATAAATCAAATCATAATTTGAGTATTCAATTTTACATAAAAAAAATACTCTATTTAAATTGTCTAAGTCTATCGGTTTTCGAATCATTTATTTTTAAATTTTTAAATGCATTTTTTTTCTTCTAAAGTTTTTATTTTTATTTATTTTCAACCCAGGGAAAGTCCACGCCGACGGCTCTTCACTCAGTAATCAGCTTTGTCGGTGGTGCACTGGACCACAAGGAGTCCGCCCTGGTGGGGGTTTTTATTGACGTTGAAGGTGCTTTTGATAAAACTACCTTCTCCGTAATTAACGACGCCTTGTTAGAGCATAACGTTCCTCTGGCCCTGTGTGGCTGGATTGAGAGCACTCTAAGACACAGGGTCGTCACATTAAGGGCTGGCCAGGCCACTCTTCAAGGGGCTGTTACTAGAGGCTGTCCGCAAGGGGGGGTACTTTCTCCACTTCTGTGGAATCTCACCCTCGATAGCCTCATGAAACGCCTAAACCTAGCCGGTTTTAAAACCGTTGGCTACGCAGATGACCTGACAATCCTTATAAGAGGCAAGTACGTTAACTCCTCGAGAGAATGCAGGAAGCTCTCAATTGAGAATTGGTGTAATAAACAATCACTTTCAGTCAATCCCAAGAAAACAGAGATGGTTCTTTTTACACACATGCGCAGCGTTGGTAATCCTAGACTGCCAACGCTTGCTAAAAGTCCACTTAAACTGTCTACAGAAGTTAAGTACTTGGGTTTAATAATAGACAGTAAGTTAACGTAGAAATCCCACTTAGATAATAGAGTTAATAAAGCTTGTGCCGCCTTCGGCCAGTGCCGGAGGGCTGTCGGGAGGACATGGGGTTTGTCCCCCAAGATAGCCCTGTGGATTTATATTACCGTGGTTCGACCAATGCTAACCTACGGTGCGGTGGTATGGTGGACTAGAGCTTCTAAGTCTACTGTTAAATGTCATGTTAAATTTACCACCAATCAACCTACATATTCAAGAAGTGGCCTTGGTATCCATGAAAAGACTACAATCTGTAGGAATTATGTAGGATGGGGATGCTGGCAGCAGTTCAACACTCTGTAGATTCGACTCTCAGAACCTTTAGGGTCTAGCACCACCGTCATACAAGCGGAACTGACTGTTATTGAACTTGCTGCCGACGGCATTTTTGACTCCAACAAGCGGGGTAAGTGCTTTACTATTTTTACAGACAGTAAACAATCTCTTTTAGCTTTTAGCAGAGTTATTATAACGTCTGTATTAGTAATGGATTGTCACACAACATTGGAGGAGGCCGCAAAATATAATCGTGTCAGAATACAGTGGGTTAACTTGGTCAAGGGTTAACAGTGGTCAAACTTGCTGCCGGTAGAGCGCCATGTGCACCCGAGTCGATAATTACCCCCTCTTTAGCTACTCATATCTTGACTCGATATGAGTAGCGTATTACCTACAAAAAATTCTTAAACGAGTGGGACCGAACCCCGGGCTGTCATCTCGCCAAGGAATTGTTAAAATATCCTTCAGCCGCAACAGCTCAGTTCCTCGTAGGGCTTGTTAACAGTGCACTTCAAACTGTCATAGGTCTCCTCACGGGACACTGTAAGGTAAATAAGCACCTTCAAAATATGAAGCTTGCTGACTCCCCTCTCTGCCGAGCCTGTGAACGGGATGACGAGATGGTTAAACACATCTTGTGTTATTGCCCCTCTCTGACCGACCTCAGAATGAGGAGCTTCGGGGAGGAATGACCAACCACAGATGATTTTCGAAATAAGAATTTAACTTTCAACACCCTGTACCTTGACATTTGTATAAGAGATGTTTATTTAGGTTCAATTGTCATATTTTGGTGTCTAGTGTCTCCGGTATTCGGATTTCCCATTCTTTCTGACTCACCCTGTATATTTGTACGGCTTCTTCTCCAATCGCATTTAAGAACAAAGCAATTTTAATTTCTTCTCTTTTGTTGTTCTTCTCAGCCGCTACCAAAAAAAAAATCAAATGCCTGTCTGAATCTTTTAAAATTTTCTGACACATTTCCATTCAAGATTGCGGTAACCATGACCTGAGCAGTATTTTGGAAAACATAGCGACCACGTTCATTCAATTCTGTTGATTTGGTGATTCAATGTTTGCTTAAGTTTATGACATCTCTGAACGCGTGTAGCCTTCATTTGATTCGTTAAAGTGTAAGTTTTATGCATACTAATAACGATATTTGACAATCCTGTGCACAAATTCACTATTATAATTCAGCTCCTTACAGATCTTGTTCCGAACACGCTTGATCATGGTGGAATTACGACAGTCTTTGGTTTTCCACTTCTGGGATGATCCTCGATGTTATCTGTGCTGATGTCCCGATAACTTCGGATTGTATTTTAGATTTTAGTTAAATTCTCTCTAGTCTTCATTCTTCTGTTCAGGATAATTTTTTCATTACCAGTCTTTTTCCAGTTCCTCTCCTCTCTGTTCAGTCTTCTCCTTATTCTAGTATTTGGCAAATCTCTTTTTTCTATAGTTAGTCTCTATTCAATCTTTTTCTTTTATTGTCGATCTTTCTGCTTTTTGAGTGTTTACCCAACCTCACTCTCATTTTTTGTCGATCTCTTTTTCCTTTTTTCAGTCTGCTTAGTTAATCCCTTTCTTTTATTATACGCCTCTTTTAGGTCACACTTCTTTGTGCCCAATCTCTTTCAAGATTCATTGTTGAAAGTTGTCTGCATCCTGAACTTGTATCCTCGAATTGTAAACTTCTCGGAATCCTAGAGATGTAGCGTTTAATGTAGCATTCAACGTTTAATGCTAGCGACAACTTAACTTTTAACCCTTAACTATTCTCTTGAAGTCAACTAAACTAGGAGTGAGTAATATGTATGATGATCCAAGTTTTAATAGGGAAGGAAATCAGGTCGTCGTACTTGTTAAAATAATTTAAGCATTCTATGTTAACATAGGCAACTTTTCTTTTATATGTATATATTTTATATAGATAGATAGTTACCGATATATATAGTAGAGAAAATCTTTGGGTTTTAACTTTTGGCCACTAGATATCACTATTCTCATTCAATTGGTGGTAAATAAGTAACATAAAAGTTTTCTTAATTATATTAACGTATATTTATTGCTACATTTAATATTTTTTTGAAATTACTTTTATGTAAAATTCTTATAATATAAAAAAAACAAATTATATTTTTAAATATTTAATCGGTTATCCATTTGGCTATTAACTCTTTAACTTTTCTTTTCGTTTCCCTCATTTGTGCAATATCGTACACAGATTCTGATGATATATCAGCGCAATGTGATGTGCCTATAAAAAAATTTAAATATCAAAAAATAAGTAGGTTCATAAAGATAAAACAAATATAACTTTTACAATAGAAATTAAATCCCGATAAAATTATTGATTTATATGGTTTTATATTGTCGGTTAAAAATTTTAATTACCTTCTACTACAAAAACGGGGGCATCATCATTTAAATCCTCAGTTAAACCGATTGAAGACCACGGATCTATCGTACCATGAACCGAAACAACTTTGGTATAACTCGGTTTTAAACCCCCGTAAAAAAAGTTTGTTCTTTCTATACCCGAATTTAACATTTCTGGTGTTATCCTAATTAATTAATAACAATTATTTTTATTCTATTTTAAGTAACAAAATTATTGTTATACCCATAAACGTCTTCGCACATTTTTCTATATAAATCAACGATCACCGTATTTTTCCCAAATATAGTATTGTTAGAGGAAGTGGTTTGATAAAAACCATATTCCGCGCAAGTTTGATACATCCATTGACGATCTAAAAAGTAATTTGCAACAAAAATTTAACTCACAATTAATTTCATACTTACAATCACCATTCGGTAAAGGATAATCTAAATAATCGATAAACCCATCATAATTTCCAATACAAGAACCAGCATAATAACTGTTAAAATATTGTTTAAACTTTTCATAACTACTTCCTGGATTACTTAAAATACTGTTACAAACAGCTTGGATGCTGCTAGATTGAGCGTATTGCACCAAACTAGCAAAAGGTGAAATTAATCCGGAGAAAAAATAAGATCTATACGGTTCTGCTAAATTTAGAGGCGAACAAGATCTAAAATCGTTCGAAATCGTGTTTAAGCCATCATTGTTGTTGGATGATAAAGTTGAAACGATTTCGCCCATTGCTTCAGAAAGAACATTGGCACATTCTGGTGATGTTAATTTAATACTGTTTCCAACAACATCATAGTATTCTAAAATACAAAAATTAATGTCAAATTTTTAAATTCAAATAAAACGTACGATAAAAGTCTTCAATAGCGAGTAAAGGTGCACTCGAAGCAAAAGCTGCGTCAATCATGTGAGGATATTTTATCCTCATCCAGGTAGCCATCGTTGCCGAATAAGAACAACCAACTAAAACTACCTAAAATTAAATAAATATATAAAATTAAGTATTTATAAAAAACAATTTTTATACTTTGCTATCTTTTAAACTTGGAATTTCGATTTTTTGGTGCTCAATAAAATAAACAACATCGGCTAACGCTTGATCTATGTTTAAATATTGCATACTTTTAGTGCATAAATCACTAAAAAATAAAAATTTTAAACAAATAATTAAAAAAAAAATTTTGTTAACCTTGTAGGAAAACTTTCTCCATAATATCTATGTTCAGTATAAAACATATATCCTTTATGTTCCCGCGCCATATCATATAATTGCCCCGTCATTAAATAACTAGGTCCAATTTCCCATTCGCCACCGAGAAATATAAAAATTGGAGCTCCGTCTTCATAAAACTCGTCGTTTTTTAAATATCTCATTTCCCATGTTCTTAAATCGTTCGGGTTGAAATGATCAACTCTTTGCGTTATCCATCCATAAATCGGTGTAGCGCGCGTGTTTTGATTTATCGTTAAATCGGGGGGACCTTTTCTCATTTTTTCTAAGAAAAATGGTACTGAATCGGATTCTAATAAATTTTTTGATCTTCTTGACGAATTTAATGTTTTACATATCTACAAAAATTCAACACTATTAAATATTATGCTTAGATCTTTGAAAGTTATTGAAAGTTACAGAACTTATTTTCAATCAATCAAATCGTTTTCCAGGTACTATAAACTGTAGTGAATTGCTTTTTTCTAGTTTTGCTTATATTTGACCACTTCTCGAGACACAAGATATTGAAGATAATATCAGATTATATCTATTTGTTTAGTTATATATCTAGTGAAATGTCACTAGACTTGACAGAATTGCAAAAGAAATATAAATAAAGTGATGAAGAAAGAATGCGAGATAGAAATTAAACAGTCGTGGAAGTAGTGTTAGTTCTACTTTTGTACTAGTACTGTCACTAGAACTAACACAAAACCTAGAATTAGAATCATACGGGTTTAGCCGTACGTATCTTGAGACGTACTAATATAATCCAATATACGTACTTTTCTAATATGTATATTTAACCTTTCAACTATTTCAATAAAAATATACAACAATGTTTCTAGTTCTAGGTCTAGTGTTAGTTCTAGTTTTACACTAGCACTGTTACTATGTAGAACTAACACTATACCTAGAACTAGAATCATTTGGGTTTAGCCGCACGTCTCTAAAGACGGCTAAACCCGAATGATTCTAGTTCTAGGTATAGTGTTAGTTCTAGTTTTACGCATAGTAGAACTGTAGAAACACATAGTAACAGTGCTAGTGTAAAACTAGAATTAACACTATACCTAGAACTAGAATCATTTGGGTTTAGCCGTCTTAAGAGACGTGCGGCTAAACCCGAATGTTTCTAATTCTAGGTCTAGTGTTAGTTCTAGTTTTAGTTTAATAAAAAATATACAACAATCTAGCACTGAACAACAACTAAAACTAGAAATAACACTAGCATTAGTACTAACACTAGACCTAGAACTACAAACATTCGGGTTTATCCGCACATCTCTCAAGACGGCTAAACCCGAATATTTCTAGTTCTAGTGTTAGTTCTACACTTTTAGTTTAATAAAAATGGTATTAGATCTACTTTTGCACTAGCACTGTCACTAGAACTAACACTAAACCTAGAACTAGAATCATTCGGGTTTAGCCGTCTTAAGAGACGTGCGGCTAAATCCGAATGTTTCTAGTTCTAGGTCTAGTGTTAGTTTTAGTTTTGAATTAGCACTGTCACTAGAACTAACACTAAACCTAGAACTAGAATAATTCGGGTTTAGCCGTGTTGAGAAACGTGCGGCTAAACCAGAATGGTTGTAGTTCTAAGTTTGGTGTTAATTCTAGTTTTGCACTACCACTGTTACTAAAATTAATGCCAGACCTAGAACTAGAAACACTCGGGCTTAATCGTCTTAAGAGACGTACGGCTAAACCCGAATGATTCTAGTTCTAGACTTAGTGTTAGTTGTAGTGACAATGCTAGTGCAAAACGTGTCTTGCGAGACGTGCTGCTAATCGCGAATGTTTCTAATAGCTGATTAACAATTAAAACTAGAACTATCGTCTTTGATTTATATATTGTCTAGACAACTTGAGGAATGCCCCGAGTTTATCTATGAATGAAGACACTCGAGCTATCAGCAAGTACAACCTCCGAGAATAACTAAAATTGTGAATTGAGAAGAGTTTCAACGCTTTAATTTCATACATCTGTGAAATGTAGTTCAACGAATTGACTTGGAACAACTTTAAGTTGCTAATCTTGCTTTAAAAAAAAAGTATTCTGCAAATTTCTTGCGCATACAGATCGGTGTATGATCAACCGCATCCAATTTTTTGACATCAGAAAGATAGAAAACCAAAAATTATGCTTAAAAAAAAAATGAATGACGCAATGAGAAGTGTTCCAAAGCTTCACCAAGAAAATTACATTATACTTTATAGTCATACAACCAAACATACAAGAGAAATGTGTAAAATGTTATAATTGCTTTAAATAAGCTTATTAATTATTTCTTCGATATATTAATTTGAAACCAAAAATTTCTTATATCTCAAAATGATGGGCTATTTTGAACAATTTAAAATTAATTAAATTGTTGAAATTAAATGCTTAATTTTAAAAATTAATTTCACTTACATCATTATAAATTAATTCTTCATCACCGATTAAAACAATACCTAAAGTAACACCTATAGCGACTAAAACGGCGACTATTACTGCACCTATTAAAATTTTATATCTCAACAACATTGTGTCTTGTAATTCTTCTACAAACAACGTTGAATGGCACGATCCGGTGAATTTATTAGGTTACATCTAATAATCTTATCGATTTTCATCGAGGAATAATAAATTTATTGCTATTAATTCCAATTAATAATAGAAGTGATACGGGTTGATGATTTATAGTTTTTACTTATTATTATTTATTAGTACTTTGTATTCAAATTATTTAATTTTTATATATAATACAATTTTTGGTGCAATTTTTTTAAGCTGCATAAACATCTTTCTTTGGTATGGTTGAAAAATAACCAGTTATAGTGTTATCAACGATGGTTCTCATTATTTTTACCATCGCCGGGTACAATTCCTTCAAAAATTCCTCCCAATTTTCATTGACGAAAGTATTCATTTGATCACCTAAATTAAAAAAATAATAATTATTATTTTAAATATAGCCAAAAGTGTGTTATAGGAATAATTTTAATGTTTAAAACAAAGTCGGATAACGTTACGTTCAGTTTACGAGGGTTTATATACAGTGTGTTAATTAATTATCGTATTAATTAACACACTGTATGTGATTTGCGTATCATTANGTTTGGTGTTAATTCTAGTTTTGCACTACCACTGTTACTAAAATTAATGCCAGACCTAGAACTAGAAACACTCGGGCTTAATCGTCTTAAGAGACGTACGGCTAAACCCGAATGATTCTAGTTCTAGACTTAGTGTTAGTTGTAGTGACAATGCTAGTGCAAAACGTGTCTTGCGAGACGTGCTGCTAATCGCGAATGTTTCTAATAGCTGATTAACAATTAAAACTAGAACTATCGTCTTTGATTTATATATTGTCTAGACAACTTGAGGAATGCCCCGAGTTTATCTATGAATGAAGACACTCGAGCTATCAGCAAGTACAACCTCCGAGAATAACTAAAATTGTGAATTGAGAAGAGTTTCAACGCTTTAATTTCATACATCTGTGAAATGTAGTTCAACGAATTGACTTGGAACAACTTTAAGTTGCTAATCTTGCTTCAAAAAAAAAGCATTCTGCAAATTTCTTGCGCATACAGATCGGTGTCTGATCAACCGCATCCAATTTTTTGACATCAGAAAGATAGAAAACCAAAAATTATGCTTAAAAAAAAAATGAATGACGCAATGAGAAGTGTTCCAAAGCTTCACCAAGAAAATTACATTATACTTTATAGTCATACAACCAAACATACAAGAGAAATGTGTAAAATGTTATAATTGCTTTAAATAAGCTTATTAATTATTTAAAATTAAACTTCGGTTTTTGCACTTTAATGGATTTTTATTTTTAAATTTTCACTCAACCGGTTTCAAAATTTTGGTTTGAAAATTTAAAAATAAAAATCCATTAAAGTGCAAAAACCGAAGTTTAATTTTACACACATAAAATGGAAAGTAAATCACCGAATAATATATATTAATTATTTGTTCGATATATTAATTTGAAACCAAAAATTTCCTATATGTCAAAATGGGTTATTTTGAACAATTTAAAATTAATTAAATTATTGAAATTAAATGCTTAATTTTAAAAATTAATNCATACATTAACACTGAATCGCCACTGATGATGAGTTTCTAGTATTGCATGGGGATTTTCATCGCTCCAAACGTGCGCATTATGAATATTAAAAATTCCGCTTTGAGTAAATGTTGCTTCATCCGTAAATACAATGTTTATGGGAAAGTCGACGTTTACTACCTCTTCCTGTATGGCCCACCTACAAAAAATCTCTCTTTTTTCGCCATCATTTTCTGTTAGAGCTTGAACGGTGTTGTAATGATAAGGATAAAGCAACTGCTCCCTTAAAATGCGGTGAACGGTTGTTTTGTTAATGTTTTCTTGTGCAGAATTTTTTCTAATGCTGGTTGAGGCCCTTTCATCAACTCTTCTCAAAACTGCTTCTTCTAAATCCACCGGCCTTGTGGATATGGTGTAACATTACACCATATCCGCCATCTCTTCCTTGGAGTAATTAATAGGTGCCATACTTAATAGTTTTATTAAATTAAATAGTAAAATAATAATTTCGTGAAGTATTATTACTTTTTTTGATTAAACAACTTATCGCAATCATAGTAACGACTTAATTATTATAAAAACAAATTTAAATTCATGATGTTAACAATATCAACTTATGAAACTAAATCTTTGAATATCTCGAAAAAGGTCTATTTTCTGACCTATGTTTATTAGGCTTTTTTTGTTTATTTTCGATCATAGAATATGCTGAGGCAGTATTGTACAATCATTGCGGGACACCTGTATATAAAAGGTTGTCTAGGTTCGTACGCAACCATACTGCGCATTACGTCACATGTGGAAAATAATACCGCCAAGCAATTGAAATTAAACAAATGCATGGAGCACCACATGGCTATGAGGTTGCGTGCGCAATCCGTGATCGCTTACGTCACGAAACACTCCTGCTCTTGCCCCTCGCCCACAAACGAAAATCAAAGTATTGCAGCATAGGAACTTAGACAACCTTTAATATATAAACCTTGGACGTAGGGTACGATAATTAATTAACACATTGTATGTAAACATATACCAATGATGAAGAGGTTTCCTACATCTTGAGAATAGGTGCACAGCTTGAAGATCCGTTCGTGACGTCAGCGCTGAATAATAATTAAAACTAGAACTAACACTAGACCTAGAACTAGAAAAATTCTATGTCTTCGGACGTATGGCTAAACCCGAATGATTCTACTTGTAGGTATAGTGTTAGTTGTAGTGACAGTGCTAGTGTGAAACTAGAACTAACACTATACCTAGAACTAGAATCATTTGGGTTTAGCCGTCTTTAGAGACGTGCGGCTAAACCCAAATGAATCTAGTTCGAGGTGTAGTGTTAGTTCTACATAGTAATAGGGCTAGTGTAAAACTAGAACTAGCACTAGAACTAGAATTAGAATCATTCGGATTTAGCCGGACGTCTTTCAAGACGGCTAAATCCGAATGATTCTAATTCTAGGTCGTGTGTTAGTTCTAGTGATAGTGCTAGTGCAAAACTAGAACTAAAACTAGACCGAGAAGTAGAAACATTCGGATTTAGCCGTACGTCTTTCAAGGCGGCTAATTCCGAATGATTCTAGTTCTAGGTCTTGTGTTAGTTCTAGTGATAGTGCTAGTGTAAAACTCGAACTAACACTATACCTAGAACTAGAATCATTTGGGTTTAGCCGTCTTTGGAGACGTGCGGCTAAACCCAAATGATTCTAGTTCTAGGTATAGTGTTAGTTCTACATAGTAATAGGGCTAGTGTAAAATTAGAACTAGCACTAGACCTAGAATTAGAAACATTCGGATTTAGCCGAACGTCTTTCAAGACGGCTAAACCTGAATGATTCTAATTCTAGGTCTTGTGTTAGTTCTAGTGATAGTGCTAGTGAAAAATTAGAACTAACACTAGACTGAGAAGTAGAAACATTCGGATTTAGCCGTACGTCTTTCAAGATGGCTAAACCCGAATTATTCTAGTTCTAGTGTTAGTTCTAGTGATAGTGCTAGTTTAAAACTCGAACTAACACTATACCTAGAACTAGAATCATTTGGGTTTAGCCGTCTTTAGAGACGTGTGGCTAAACCCAAATGATTCTAGTTCTAGGTATAGTGTTAGTTCTACATAGTAATAGGGCTAGTGTAAAACTAGAACTAGCACTAGACCGAGAAGTAGAAACATTCGGATTTAGCCGAACGTCTTTCAAGACGGCTAAATCTGAATGATTCTAGTTCTAGGTCTTGTGTTAGTTCTAGTGATAGTGCTA